CTTCCTTCCTTACTTACTTACTTACTTACTTCCTTACTTACTTCCTCCCTCCCTCCCTCCCTTCCTTCCTTCCTTCCTTCCTTCCTTCCTTCCTTCCTTCCTTTCTGTTCTTGTCACAGCCCTATGTAAAACCATGATTTTTATTCCAGATTAGAGGGATCTCACAACTACTAATTTGGATTCAGGGTTCAGAGTTCTCTAAGAAGTCATGGAGAAAAATCTATGCATTTTTCACTCACCAACCACACTTATCGGTATAACAGAATAGTTGGATGTGTCAAGAGGTTAATTAATCCACATTACTGACTAAAATGATGTAAAAAAACCCACTGAAGGGCTTGAGATGAAGATGCAAATAACAGGCTTCTTACTGTAATTTAATTTAGGTGAATCCATATAAACCACCAAACATACTGCCCTAATTTAAGAATCACAAAATAGAAATGAATCACATTTCTGTTCTCATGATCACCTGATAGCTTCATGGCTGAGTGAAAGATGTGAATTAGGGTTTCCCCAGGCTAAATTAAAAATTAAACAAGTAAAATAAGGGTAGATATGTATTAAATTTTCATTTGAGAAACTTTCTATCTAATAAAAATAGAACAGGAGCTATACCCAGTCTTCCTTCTTAAAAAGCTGGCACTGAATCCAAGAGCTAAAAATTAAAAATATGTTCTTTGAATAGAGCAAGTGAAACCTTCATTCACTTAATTAGAGAATTTATATTCCATGAGAGATATTCTGTGCTACAGTATGAATCAACACAGTGTAATGGTAAGGCTGTTTGTCTAGAATAGAAGAAAAATGAGTTCATATCGCCTTGAAGCTCATTGGACTGTCTTTAGGCAACGCTCAACCTATCTGCCCTGTGCAGGTCAAGAGAGAATAAAAATAAAGAGGAGGACTAGATACTCTTCATTGAGTTTCTTGGTAGAAAGGTGGTATATAAATACAACAAGGTAAGGTAAAGGTAAAGGTTTCCCTTGACATTTAGTCCAGTTGTGGGCACGGTGCTGATCCCCGTCTCCAAGCCGTAGAGCCAGCGTTTATCCAAAGACAGTTTCCGTGGTCACGTGGCCAGCGCGACTAGACACGGAACGCCGTTACCTTCCCACCATGGTGGTACCTATTTATCTACTCGTATTTCACATGCTTTTGAATTGCTAGGTTGGCAGGAATAAATACAACAAACAATTGTATAAAGTATATACTTTTAAAAATGAATGAATAAAATCCAACTCAGATTACAGTAGGACGCTCCGCCCTACCCATGGGGTCAGTATCCACTGATTCACTTATCTGCTGGCTGAAAATACTAAATAAAAAGCCCAGAAATAGCTATTTATATGTTTTTCTAAGGGGTGCTAACCAGAACTGGCCACTACAGGGAGCCAGAGACCATGCCTGGCATTTGATATGCTTGCATTTTTCAGCATCCATGGTGGTGATGGGGACTCGGAACTCATCCCCCATTGATACCACGGTTCCACTGTATTATAATTCTTCATCTATGTCCACATGAGCACCACTTTTTCACCTGGGTCCCATCAGAAGTAAGTATTGTTTGCCCGGTTAGCATGTCTGATACTTCCTTCAGTTCCTTGGAAGAAAGGCAGGCTACAATCACAATAAACAAATAAATACATAATGGCCTAAACGTTTACCAGTGAATAAAACTGGAAACTGGGATCCCCCAAGCCAGAATGTCGCAGGCTGACTCTGGGACTCTGGGAGATGTAGTCCAAAGCAGTTAATATCACAGTAGTATGACACTGAGCTTCTTTCAGGCTGTCCTTCCTCCATCAGTGCCTCATTTATTTTAACAGGAAAAGAATTTGCATAATTGCATCCATAGCATTGAGACACTTGGATGTGTTGCTAATTTGGTCTGTTATCAACAGGTAAAAGCCAGACTTGACTACTTTACAACTGCTCCTGAGACCCCTTTCCCATTCTCATCTGTCATCAGTATTCTTAGCACGCTGCATAAATTAAAATAAAATACAATAGTGCATTGTTAAACTCTGTGTGTACCGATGGAGAGTCTAAATGCATTTATTCCCAGGAAACGTGCAATAAGTGTAGTGAAGGACTAAGGAAATATCCGCACTATGGATCAAACAGGTTTTATAGCCAATCCTTTTTGCCAGAAACAAAACTGTAATTTTACAAGATGCAGCAAGACAGCTCTTTAGAACTGCTAGCCCTTCGCCAGTTTCCCATAATTTTTAGCAAAAGCTCAGAAGTTAAAGTAGCATTAAAATGATACTTTGTTTTGAAGATAAGAACCAAAACGTAAAATAAAACGAGGCTGTGTGAATCCATGTGACGTTGACTTTTATGATCCAAATCAAGGGATGTTTGAAAGGATATGAAATTGATCACCTGAAATACTGTCCCCCCCAAGGATATAAGAACAAGTCTTTGAAGAGCAATCATGCAACATAGTTACATTTGAGAAGATGCGTCAATGCTTATTACAAAGTGAACAAATTAATGATCTTCTATGAATTTCATTGTCTTGTAGAGGGTCAGATCCTACACCCTTTTAAAAAGAAGAAAAGCGAAGGAAGTAAACCCACATTGATTCGCTGGGGCGGCAGATCTTGTTGCTACAAGTCAATATGCATCAAAATTTAATGGGTCAAAATTTAATGGGTCAAGATGTAATGAAGAGCAAATTGGCTTGCTTTAAAAAAAGCAGAAATTGATTGGCTTGGTGACCCCAAACAATACACAATAAGGCTTCGCCAGTCCCCAAGTCCTGCAATCTTTGCCGTCCTAAAAAAAAATCAATGAGTAATAGGCCTCCGTTTGTGTTTTGAAACGTACGATTCATATTATAGCAGCTGTATTCATTTTAATAGGGTGTCCCTCAATCAAAGACAGAAAAATAAGAGAGCATTCTTTGTAATGAATTCTGTCCAGTGAACTGACGGGACTTTCAGCCTGATTTATAGCAGGCATCAGAGCTGATAAAGGTCACCACTGAATCTCCCTTTTTTAAGAAAATGGTTCTCGTATTTACAGACAACCATTTTTTGGTAGAAATGGTACTAAAAAGACCCAGCTCTTAGGCAGAGTTGTTTATTCCAAGGAGGACGTCCTGAAGCCCCCTCTGACTTAACTGACTCAACTGGCTTTCTCACATCTGGTTTCTAGAGAAATACTTGATAAATACATAAAAGTTCAATTCCTGACTTGGCCGTCTAACTCACTAGGGGACCCTGGGTCAGTCCCACTTGATCATCCTGGTTTACCCCTCACATGGTAAGAAGCAGGGCAGGCAGAGGAGACTCGTGTATTCTGTTTGGAGTTCACTGGAAGAAAGCCAGGATATAAATGTCACAAATAAATAAATGGAAGGGGTGCAGAGAAGAGCAACAAAGATGATAAGGGGGCTGGAGGCTAAATCCTATGAAGAATGACTAAAAGAACTAGGTATGCTTAGCTTAACAAACAGAGAAGACTGAGGGGAGACAGGATAGCAGTTTCCCAAGATCTGAAGGGTTGCCACAGGGAAGAGGGCATCAATTTATTCTCCATTGCACCTGAGGGTAGGACAAGAACCAATGGGTGGAATCTCGTCAAAGGGAGATCCAACCTAGAAATGAGGAATTTCCTGATGGTGTGAACCATGAAGAAGTGGAACAGCTTGCCTCCTGATGTTGTGGGTGCCCCATCGCTGGAGGTTTTCGAGAAAAGATTGGAGAGCCATCTGTCCAGGATGGTATGAGGTCTCCTACCTTGGGGGGGGGTGGGCTAGAAGACCTCCAAGGTCCCTTCCAACCCTACAACAATTCCATGCTTCTATGAAATAATATTAGATACTCCCAATGGCCGTGTTTCCATATGTTGGGTGTGCATACATTCATCCATGTTCCACGGAACATGAAGAGGAAGCTTTAGGCCTAGTGCCATCATCCTTTATCACTGAAAAAAAGTTCCAGTCTGTACTTTGATGCTGTGCAAATCTGAGGAGGGTGACACGAACAGGCTTTAAGCCCACAAATCAACTGAAATGTGACACATTTTGATTAAACCAGCATTTTATTGCAATTTCTCTGAGCACAGTCAGGTTCTGCAATCAAACGGGGCTACGTCCAAGGGGGAAAAAAAGACACCAGACTGCCGTCAGGATGTCCAAGCGGTCTCTTCTATGTTCCTTAGGTGACCCATGCCTTGCCCTCTCTCTCCACAGTAGATTATTTGGCACATTATAAGCACTTGGCTAAGGGGTCGGCGCAGGTGGCAACTGTCTGAGGTTTT